AGAGAGAGAGACAGTAGCCAGAGAGAGAGAGAGAGAGAGAGAGAGAGACAGTAGCCAGAGAGAGAGAGAGAGAGAGAGAGAGAGAGTGAGAGAGAGACAGTAGCCAGAGAGAGAGAGAGAGAGAGAGAGAGAGAGAGAGAGAGAGAGAGAGAGAGAGAGCACATTGGCATGAGAAGTCTATTAGCATTTGAAATGGAGGCAGACTGGAGGCAAATCCTCTAGATAGGAGAAGAGAGGGAGGTGAAGCTATTCAGACCAGAGAGGGAGGTGAAGCTAGTCAGCCCAGAGAGGGAGGTGAAGCTATTCAGCCCAGAGAGGGAGGTGAAGCTAGTCAGACCAGAGAGGGAGGTGAAGCTAGTCAGACCAGAGAGGAAGAAACTGCAGTGAAAGAAATATGTCTGTTCTCCCAATCTGCCTGCCTGATGTATTATGACAATAATAGCAGAATGAAGCCCCTGGGAACAGCCATGTGATGAGGAGATAGCAGAGTAATACCCCTGGGAACAGCCATGTGATGAGGAGATAGCAGAATGAAGCCCCTGGGAACAGCCATGTGATGAGGAGATAGCAGAATGAAGCCCCTGGGAACAGCCATGTGTTGAGGAGATAGCAGAATAATACCCCTGGGAACAGCCATGTGATGAGGAGATAGCAGAATAATACCCCTGGGAACAGCCATGTGATGAGGAGATAGCAGAATAATACCCCTGGGAACAGCCATGTGATGAGGAGATAGCAGAATAATACCCCTGGGAACAGCCTTGTGATGAAGAGATAGCAGAATAATACCCCTGGGAACAGCCATGTAATGAGGAGATAGCAGAATAATACCCCTGGGAACAGCCATGTGATGAGGAGATAGCAGAATAATACCCCTGGGAACAGCCATGTGATGAGGAAATAGTAGAGTAATACCCCTGGGAACAGCCATGTGATGAGGAGATAGCAGAATAATACCCCTGGGAACAGCCATGTGATGAGGAGATAGCAGAATAATACCCCTGGGAACAGCCATGTGATGAGGAGATAGCAGAATGAAGCCCCTGGGAACAGCCATGTGATGAGGAGATAGCAGAATAATACCACTGGGAACAGCCATGTGACGAGGAGATAGCAGAATAATACCACTGGGAACAGCCATGTGATGAGGAGATAGCAGAATAATACCCCTGGGAACAGCCATGTGATGAGGAGATAGCAGAATAATACCCCTGGGAACAGCCTTGTGATGAAGAGATAGCAGAATAATACCCCTGGAAACAGCCATGTAATGAGGAGATAGCAGAATGAAGCCCCTGGGAACAGCCATGTAATGAGGAGATAGCAGAATGAAGCCCCTGGGAACAGCCATGTGATGAGGAGATAGCAGAATAATACCCCTGGGAACAGCCATGTGATGAGGAGATAGCAGAATAATACCCCTGGGAACAGCCATGTGATGAGGAGATAGCAGAATGAAGCCCCTGGGAACAGCCATGTGATGAAGAGATAGCAGAATAATACCCCTGGGAACAGCCATGTGATGAGGAGATAGCAGAATGATGCCCCTGGGAACAGCCATGTGATGAGGAGATAGCAGAATAATACCCCTGGGAACAGCCATGTGATGAGGAGATAGCAGAATAATACCCCTGGGAACAGCCATGTAATGAGGAGATAGCAGAATAATACCCCTGGGAACAGCCATGTAATGAGGAGATAGCAGAATGAAGCCCCTGGGAACAGCCATGTGATGAGGAGATAGCATAATAATACCCCTGGGAACAGCCATGTGATGAGGAGATAGCAGAATAATACCCCTGGGAACAGCCATGTGATGAGGAGATAGCAGAATAATACCCCTGGGAACAGCCATGTGATGAGGAGATAGCAGAATAATACCCCTGGGAACAGCCATGTGATGAGGAGATAGTAGAATTATGCCCCTGGGAACAGCCATGTGATGAGGAGATAGCAGAATTATGCCCCTGGGAACAGCCTTGTGATGAAGAGAGCATAATAATACCCCTGGGAACAGCCATGTGATGAGGAGATAGCAGAATAATACCCCTGGGAACAGCCATGTGATGAGGAGATAGCAGAATAATACCCCTGGGAACAGCCATGTGATGAGGAGATAGCAGAATGAAGCCCTGGGAACAGCCATGTGATGAGGAGATAGCAGAATAATACCCCTGGGAACAGCCATGTGATGAGGAGATAGCAGAATAATACCCCTGGGAACAGCCATGTGATGAGGAGATAGCAGAATAATACCCCTGGGAACAGCCATGTGATGAGGAGATAGCAGAATAATACCCCTGGGAACAGCCTTGTGATGAAGAGATAGCAGAATAATACCCCTGGGAACAGCCATGTAATGAGGAGATAGCAGAATGAAGCCCCTGGGAACAGCCATGTGATGAGGAGATAGCAGAATGAAGCCCCTGGGAACAGCCATGTGATGAGGAGATAGCAGAATAATACCCCTGGGAACAGCCATGTGATGAGGAGATAGCAGAATAATACCCCTGGGAACAGCCATGTGATGAGGAGATAGCAGAATGAAGCCCCTGGGAACAGCCATGTGATGAAGAGATAGCAGAATAATACCCCTGGGAACAGCCATGTGATGAGGAGATAGCAGAATGATGCCCCTGGGAACAGCCATGTGATGAGGAGATAGCAGAATAATACCCCTGGGAACAGCCATGTGATGAGGAGATAGCAGAATAATACCCCTGGGAACAGCCATGTAATGAGGAGATAGCAGAATAATACCCCTGGGAACAGCCATGTAATGAGGAGATAGCAGAATGAAGCCCCTGGGAACAGCCATGTGATGAGGAGATAGCAGAATAATACCCCTGGGAACAGCCATGTGATGAGGAGATAGCAGAATAATACCCCTGGGAACAGCCATGTGATGAGGAGATAGCAGAATAATACCCCTGGGAACAGCCATGTGATGAGGAAATAGCAGAATAATACCCCTGGGAACAGCCATGTAATGAGGAGATAGCAGAATGAAGCCCCTGGGAACAGCCATGTGATGAGGAGATAGCAGAATAATACCCCTGGGAACAGCCATGTGATGAGGAGATAGCAGAATAATACCCCTGGGAACAGCCTTGTGATGAAGAGAGCATAATAATACCCCTGGGAACAGCCATGTGATGAGGTGATAGCAGAATAATACCCCTGGGAACAGCCATGTGATGAGGAGATAGCAGAATGAAGCCCCTGGGAACAGCCATGTGATGAGGAGATAGCAGAATAATACCCCTGGGAACAGCCATGTGATGAGGAGATAGCAGAATTATGCCCCTGGGAACAGCCATGTATTGAGGAGATAGCATAATTCTAAGTAGGATTAATGATATATTTTTGTATTACTTTATTATGACTATATTCCTTATTCTTGGGCACACGGTGCCACGGTGCCACGGTGCAGGTGTAGAAATCATGTCTGGGCAATAAAACATCAGCTGTCTGCCTCCCAGTGATCTTCTAACACTAGGAAGAAAGGAAATATGAAACAATCTCTCCTCATTCAATTCAAGAGTTTAAATAATGAAGCAATAAAAACTAAAACAGACAACACATTTGAGTAAAACTTTTTTAAAATGATAAAATCAGCAGACATAATATAGCACTGACAAGTAGACTCATCATCTCATGATGAGGCGGCAGGTAGCTTAGTGGTTAAGAGCGCTGTGCCAGTAACCGAAAGGTTGCTGGTTCTAATCCCCGAGCCGACTAGGTGAAAAATCTGTCGATGTGCCCTTGAGCAAGGCACTTAACCCTAATTGCTAAATGACTAAAATGTAAAAATGTAAATGCTGTGTCAAAGAGACTGCTGACTATGAGACCCCCATGTTGTCTGTCTGTCTGTCAGTAGGGTAGGTCTATGTGAGTGACCCTCTGGCTGTCAGTCACCGGCCCGGGTTTCTCCTGACGTCACCACTCTACATTATAGATGAGAAGGTCCTGTTGCCGCAGCAACATGCTGTTTGAGTGACACAGCCATAGTCACAACACGTCAGAATAATAAAAATGGTCTCTTACTTTCGATAACAAAATCAGGATTTTTTTTGCAGCACACAATGTTGTCATTCACTGATAAGTGAATCGTTTTTTTCAAGACTGTTTGGATTTTAAAAAACAATTGCTTGTGCGTTGACGCTTAACAAATTAAACACACAGAATGCCACCATAAACCAATTAACCCTGAATTCCATGAGCATTTCTTGAAACAACGTTAAGTTACAAAATATATAAGCTGAAATATCTATGATAAGAATAGGTTATGATATAAACAATGATAATTGGCTTACCATCATTCTAGACCCCTCACACAGTTCTCACCTTTTTCTCTCTCAACTTCTCCCTCTTTCTCTCTTTGCAAATCACTCCTGGAAGTTGTGTTAGTTTGTTGGCTGTTGCTAGGAGACAGCCAAGCTGACTCCAGTTTCCGAGGGCCAAGTCTCAGAGTCGGCTCTGACACCTGTTCTGTCGTTTTTTTTCTTCACTGGATATGGCTTGATGAGGAAGGTGTAATGGTTCAGATAATGTCGATGAGGAGGACACTTCATCAGGCAATATAACGAGCATGAAACTTTATCATATGACATGCAGGCAAACACATCAAACCTTATTCCCTATATTTAGCCTGGGGACTTGGACTCTGTCTGCCTTGAACTACCGTACAGCTCCATTTGCTGCCTTCCAGGTTGGCAAGTTCCCAAGCAACCCTTCGTCTAGATTGTAAGAAAGTAATGTTCCGAGTGGAATGTGGAATGCAGAGAGGAATGTTCCGAGTGGAATGTGGAATGCAGAGAGGAATGTTCAGAGTGGAATCAGAAGGGGTCAATCTCTCTATGACATCATCAATGTGCTGTGACACCCCCCAATGGTTCCATCTAATACAGTACCCATTTAGAATCCCCAGGTTCCTAACGGGTAGATAGATCAACCAGAGCTGGTACCAACAGAGCTCCTACTTACCCACATATCCTACTATGGCCCGGAACAACAGCCAACCCAGCATGGCCTGCTCCAGCATAGGTCGTCCATACATATCATCCCTTGATATGGACAGGGCTGATGACATCTGGCAGTGTGTCAAGAACAAGGTGAGAGAGAGAGGCTATACGCTACAGCTATTCACATACGATACGATAAGTTAGCATATCATAACATAGTCATAACATAGCCATAACATAAGACATGCTAAGAATAAGCTGAATTGAAAAGCAGATCCACAGAGCTAGTTTCCATGATATTGACACCAGCTGGCTAATCAATTCATTCCTATGCTGAGTGGAAAACACATATTTTCACATCGGGTAAGGCAACTGGGCAGAATAAATACATGTTGATGAAACTGAACACATTCATGTTGCTCGGCTGTCAGCCAGCCCTGTCTGCTGAGGAGAAACCTAAGAGGCGAACTCCAGCACACTTTGACACTTTTAGGACATTCAGGAAGTGGCCCACTGACCTATATTATTCTAGTAAAATAATAAATAATAACAAAAAATAGCATACAAATGTAATACAATAAATCTATTATTAGTCTCGTGAGATGTGACCACTGATCCCAGATCGGCTGTTGATCTCAGGTCAGATACTGATCTCAGGTTAGATGTTGATCTCGGGTCAGCTGTTGATCTCGGGTCAGCTGTTGATCTCAGGTCAGCTACTGATCTCAGGTCAGATGTTGATCTCGGGTCAAAGTGAAGTTTGTGCCCTGCTTGTTTCTGACTGTGAGATACAAGGACATCTCTCTCTCTTCTCCCAGTTTCTGCACCTCACCACATTCCCCCATATGTGATGAAACTGTAATTCTACTCAGCAAATCATGACTCTTCCTCTCTTCCCTTTCTTGTCTCTCTCTTCCCTTTCTTGTCTCTCTCTTCCCTTTCTTGTCTCTCTCTCTCTCTCCTCTTCTTCGTCAGGTGGCCTCCAGTCTGTGTGGCCCCCATGTGACGGCCATGCCCCACCTGCGTGATGCCCAGATGTTCCGTCCTCTCTGCGTTATCGGGAAGCGTGTGGAGCGTTCGCTGCGTGTGCGTAAGGTCCGCTCCTTGTTCCCCCTGGGGCCCCTGAAGGACCTGTTAGATGACCCGGCCGGCTCCCCAGAGGCCTCCCTGAAGACTGAGGGGCTCGTGCGCTGCGATTTCCTGCACGACGAGTTCCTGGACGGCGTGGGGAGGGTCCGTGTGCAGGTCAGCAACCTGAGGAAAGAGGCAGCGGTTTGTCCCTTGGCCCCACACAGACAGCTGTCCCTCAGGGACAACCTGCCCTGGCTGGACTCTGTTCACCGCCTCTACCTGGTGAGACACAGGAGTTAGATAAACATCAGAATAATGAATAATGATGGTGTGCTGCATTATGTATCGCGTTTCTCAATCTCTGCTATTTTTTTAATGCACTATATCGGGTACCTCGGACCCATTGCCATGTCTGACACAAACAGGGAGTGGGGGAATGGAACTCACATGTGGCTCCCATTGCATATGTGCACCGTAGATGTCTTCTTCCCAAGGAACAATCTTGATATTTATGACATCATCCCTGGGCAAAAACTGGTTGAATCAGAGTTGTTTCCACGTAATTTCAACCAAAATATTCAATGTGATGACGTTGAATCAACGTGAAAAACTAATTTTATTTTTTTTAAACGCATCACGTAAGGGATTTTTTAAAACCTTTTAACCTAAATCCAATGTCATGGTGAATTTAGTTGATTTCATGTTAAATTCACGTTAGTTGACAACTCAACCAAATGTTAATCAAAACTAGACATTGCACTGACGTCTGTACCCAGTGGGCACTGTCTAATCCAGGGCTTTCCAACCCTGTTCCTGGAGAGCTACCCTCCTGTAGGTTTTAGCTCCAACCCGTTGTAATTAACCCGATTCAGCTCATCAACCAGCTAATTATTAGAATCAGGTGCGCTACATTAGTGTCCAAAAACCTACAGGACACTAGCTCTCCAGGAACAGGGTTGGAGAGTAAACCTACAGGACACTAGCTCTCCAGGAACAGGGTTGGAGTGTAAACCTACAGGACACTAGCTCTCCAGGAACAGGGTTGGAGAGTAAACCTACAGGACGGTAGCTCTCCAGGAACAGGGTTGGAGTGTAAACCTACAGGACGGTAGCTCTCCAGGAACAGGGTTGGAGTGTAAACCTACAGGACGGTAGCTCTCCAGGAACAGGGTTGGAGTGTAAACCTACAGGACACTAGCTCTCCAGGAACAGGGTTGGAGAGTAAACCTACAGGACACTAGCTCTCCAGGAACAGGGTTGGAGTGTAAACCTACAGGACACTAGCTCTCCAGGAACAGGGTTGGAGAGTAAACCTACAGGACGGTAGCTCTCCAGGAACAGGGTTGGAGTGTAAACCTACAGGACGGTAGCTCTCCAGGAACAGGGTTGGAGTGTAAACCTACAGGACGGTAGCTCTCCAGGAACAGGGTTGGAGTGTAAACCTACAGGACGGTAGCTCTCCAGGAACAGGGTTGGAGTGTAAACCTACAGGACACTAGCTCTCCAGGAACAGGGTTGGAGTGTAAACCTAGAGGACACTAGCTCTCCAGGAACAGGGTTGGAGTGTAAACCTACACAACGGTAGCTCTCCAGGAACAGGGTTGGAGAGCCCTGGTCTAATCCCTTTCCATCTCTTGGTTCCAGGTGAGCGAGGTGTACTGCAGCTCTGACGCCAAGCTGCGTGTGCTGGGGATGGAGAGGAGGACAGAGCTGAGGCTGGGGCCCGACACCCCACTGGCCTTCTCCTGCCTCAGGCTCTCTGTCTCTCCCTCGGGCCTGTTGGAGGTGTGTGACGGCTGGGAGGGCAGCTACCTACACCCCAAGGCCAGGTGGGCCAAGTTCGACTCCCCGGACTATGCCTCTCTGGTAGCAGGGAGACCGGTGTCTGAGCCCAAGATGATGAGCCTGCTCTCCCAGTTTGGTGAGCTAACCTCCACTCTGTTGTCCAATGAAGTGATAATATGAAAGCAATGTGCCTTCTTTACCTCCTGATAATAAACCTCCTCTCCCTTCCTGATCTTCCAACTCCAACGTTCAACTTCTCCCATCCCATTTCATGGCACAAACGCAATGCACACTTACCTTACTTTCTAACTCAGATTCAGATCAATTTATAACCACCTTCCTCCCGTTCCCACTCCAGCGTTCAACATCTCCCACCCCTCCATAATCTCCCTGCCCAACTCGGCCCTCCACCTGCCGGGCCCGTCCCCCAGCAAGGAGCAACACCAGGAGGCGCAGGAGATCTCCAGCGAGGCCCTGCTGCCCCTGGAGGAGGAGGAGGAGGTGGGAAGCTGAGGAAGAGGGAGGAGGACAGGAAGGCAGAAGGGGGGCTGATAGGGAGAGGTAGAGGGGGTGGAGGAGAGGAGCGTGAGGAGAGGACATTGGTCTCTCGGGGGTAAAAGCCAATTAAATGAAATTGACAGCTGAGCAACGCTGTATTCCATCCACAGTTTATTATTGTACACCACGGACACGGATATTAGTAATCTACGCCAACCCTTCAAGTTATCTAGTCACATAGAGAAAAAGTTCCTGTTCTGTGATTCCAAGGACAATTCCTTTGAGAGTGAGTCAATTTATTGTTGAACTAGGCAGTTTTATTAATTACAGCGTGTGTGTAAAGTCCTTGATCTTGGGGAGTTACATGTACAGCAGTCCTCGATCTTGGGGAGTTACATGTACAGCAGCTGGTCCTCATGTCATCTCTTTCTCTGAAAGATTCATCAAACACCCATAGAGAAGGTGGAGGGAGGGAGGGAGGAGGAGGGAGTGATAGAGCGATAGATGGATAGAGAGAGGGACAGAGATAGAGGGACAGAGATAAAGAGGGACAGAGATAAAGAGGGACAGAGATAAAGCGAGGAATAAAAGAGAAGTATGGGACATTAACAGAGATAACCCACACCACACCAGATAACCCACATCACACCAGATAACCCACACCACACCAGATAACCCACACCACACCAGATAACCCACATCACACCAGATAACCCACACCACACCAGATAACCCACATCACACCAGATAACCCACATTCCACCAGATAACCAACATCACACCAGCAGAAACAGGTTTGATTTACATCTCGGTGTGCGTCTCAAATGGGACCATATTCTCTACATAGTGCACTACTTTTGACCAGAGCCCATAGTGAGCCCCATAGTGAGCATATAATGAGCCTATAGTGAGCCCCGTAATGAGCCCATAGTGAGCCCCGTAATGAGCCCATAGTGAGCATATAATGAGCCCCGTAATGAGCCCACAGTGAGCCCATAGTGAGCCCCATAGTGAGCCCATGGTGAGCCCCATAGGGAGCCCCATAGTGACCCATAGTGAGCCCATAGTGACCCATAGTGAGCCCATAGTGAGCCCCATAGTGAGCCCCATAGTGACCCATAGTGAGCCCATAGTGACCCATAGTGAGCCCATAGTGAGCCCCATAGTGAGCCCATGGTGAGCCCCATAGGGAGCCCATAGTGAGCCCCATAGTGACCCATAGTGAGCCCCATAGTGACCCATAGTGAGCCCATAGTGACCCATAGTGAGCCCATAGTGACCCCATAGTGAGCCCCATAGTGAGCCCATAGTAACCCATAGTGAGCCCCATAGTGACCCATAGTGAGCCCCATAGTGACCCCATAGTGAGCCCCATAGTGACCCATAGTGAGCCCATAGTGAGCCCATGGTGAGCATTTAGTGAGCCCCATAGTGACCCATAGTGAGCCCATAGTGACCCATAGTGAGCCCATAGTGAGCCCCATAGTGAGCCCCATAGTGACCCCATAGTGAGCCCATAGTGAGCCCCATAGTGACCCATAGTGAGCCCATAGTGACCCATAGTGAGCCCATAGTGTCCCATAGTGACCCATAGTGAGCCCCATAGTGTCCCATAGTGTCCCATAGTGAGCCCCATAGTGAGCCCATAGTGAGCCCCATAGTGAGCCCATAGGGAGCCCATAGTGAGCCCATAGTGTGCCCGATATTGAGCCCATAGTGAGCCCGATAGTGAGCCCCATAGTGAGCCCGATAGTGAGCCCCATAGTGAACCCATAGGGAGCCCCATAGTGAACCCATAGGGAGCACGGGTCATAGTATATAGGGAATAGGGTGCCAGCATCTGTTTCAGTTTAATTGGCTTAACAGAAAATGCCAGTCCAGTCCTGTCAGTAGCCTCGGCCGATCACACCCCTTGCTGTCGGTCTCTGCACCCCACTATGAGCCAGTCCAGTCCTGTCAGTAGCCTCGGCCGATCACACCCCTTGCTGTCGGTCTCTGCACCCCACTATGAGCCAGTCCAGTCCTGTCAGTAGCCTCGGCCGATCACACCCCTTGCTGTCGGTCTCTGCACCCCACTATGAGCCAGTCCAGTCCTGTCAGTAGCCTCGGCCGATCACAACCCCTTGCTGTCGGTCTCTGCACCCCACTATGAGCCAGTCCAGTCCTGTCAGTAGCCTCGGCCGATCACACCCCTTGCTGTCGGTCTCTGCACCCCACTATGAGCCAGTCCAGTCCTGTCAGTAGCCTCGGCCGATCACACCCCTTGCTGTCGGTCTCTGCACCCCACTATGAGCCAGTCCAGTCCTGTCAGTAGCCTCGGCCGATCACACCCCTTGCTGTCGGTCTCTGCACCCCACTATGAGCCAGTCCAGTCCTGTCAGTAGCCTCGGCCGATCACACCCCTTGCTGTCGGTCTCTGCACCCCACTATGAGCCAGTCCAGTCCTGTCAGTAGCCTCGGCCGATCACACCCCTTGCTGTCGGTCTCTGCACCCCACTATGAGCCAGTCCAGTCCTGTCAGTAGCCTCGGCCGATCACACCCCTTGCTGTCGGTCTCTGCACCCCACTATGAGCCAGTCCAGTCCTGTCAGTAGCCTCGGCCGATCACACCCCTTGCTGTCGGTCTCTGCACCCCACTATGAGCCAGTCCAGTCCTGTCAGTAGCCTCGGCCGATCACACCCCTTGCTGTCGGTCTCTGCACCCCACTATGAGCCAGTCCAGTCCTGTCAGTAGCCTCGGCCGATCACACCCCTTGCTGTCGGTCTCTGCACCCCACTATGAGCCAGTCCAGTCCTGTCAGTAGCCTCGGCCGATCACACCCCTTGCTGTCGGTCTCTGCACCCCACTATGAGCCAGTCCAGTCCTGTCAGTAGCCTCGGCCGATCACACCCCTTGCTGTCGGTCTCTGCACCCCACTATGAGCCAGTCCAGTCCTGTCAGTAGCCTCGGCCGATCACACCCCTTGCTGTCGGTCTCTGCACCCCACTATGAGCCAGTCCAGTCCTGTCAGTAGCCTCGGCCGATCACACCCCTTGCTGTCGGTCTCTGCACCCCACTATGAGCCAGTCCAGTCCTGTCAGTAGCCTCGGCCGATCACACCCCTTGCTGTCGGTCTCTGCACCCCACTATGAGCCAGTCCAGTCCTGTCAGTAGCCTCGGCCGATCACACCCCTTGCTGTCGGTCTCTGCACCCCACTATGAGCCAGTCCAGTCCTGTCAGTAGCCTCGGCCGATCACACCCCTTGCTGTCGGTCTCTGCACCCCACTATGAGCCAGTCCAGTCCTGTCAGTAGCCTCGGCCGATCACACCCCTTGCTGTCGGTCTCTGCACCCCACTATGAGCCAGTCCAGTCCTGTCAGTAGCCTCGGCCGATCACACCCCTTGCTGTCGGTCTCTGCACCCCACTATGAGACGTAGCATCTAGCCTTGAAGACCACCGTCCGTGGAAGCAGTCTCCGTGGAAGCAGTCTCCGTGGAAGCAGTCTCCGTGGAAGCAGCCTCCGTGGAAGCAGTCTCCACTTGGCATTCAATGAGTGTGTGGGTGGCTGAGTGGGCAATGAATGTACTGTGCACGATTTTCACATACGTCACTCTTCTGTCCCTGCCTAGTCTATGTCTTAATATAACAATTATAATATATGCCATTTAGCAGACGCTTTTATCCTTAGTGCATTCTCCTAATGTAGTCTCATCACCTTTGACCTCTGAGATTAATTCTAAAGTGTAATCAACATGGTAGACATTTATATGGATTAAATTAATTAATTAATAAATTAGCAAAACATTCTAAAAAACTGTTTTTGTTTTGTCATTATGGGGTATTGTGTGTAGATTGATGAGGGAATTGATGACAATTGTATCCATTTTAGAATAAGGATGTAACATAACAAAATGTGGAAAAAGTCAAGGGGTCTGAACACTTTCCGAATGCACTGTGGCGCAATAGTCTGCATAAGTGCTAATGAGCTAGGCTAATGAGCTAGGCTAATGAGCTAGGCTAATAAGCAAGAGTTTGAGAGTCAGTTAAGGATCTGTAGAACGTTCTGCTGTGGCATGCTGTGAGACAGAGAACAGACGCATCGATTGACGAATTGATTAGTAAAAATAGAAGAACAGAGTGAAAAACAGGAAACGCAAAATGTCTGAGTGGCTGAGCTGCTACAAATCTACTTTACACTGAGGATCTACAGCACCTAGTTGGCGGCAGTTTGCCATAAAATACTGTGTCCTCATCTGTACATAAACTGTTCTGTGTGGTGTGTCAGAATCTCAGAACAACAGAAACTGGAGAGAAAAGCCACAACAACACACAAAAAAATACCACGACACAATCCATATCGATAGGTCAAACATTTATACATTAATAGAAACATTCCGTTTTTTGTTGTGTTTCTTACAATTTTTTATTTTCTTTAGCTTTTAATTATAGAAAAATATTTCTTACAACATTCATATCATTTTGCGTGTGATTCATTCAGTCCTGTTGTTGTTAATTAATACGCGCCTGTGTTTGTAAAGACCCATTGGTTGGTTTTATACATTATTTTCGAGATGAACTCAGTCCATCTCCCGTTTCAACCTAAGCGTTAGGACACAAGCATGTCTGCATAGATTCCAGGAGAGAGAATATCTCTGGGCAAGTCGATGCTAAGTTTCACAACGTAGAAACAAAACGTCAGAAAGAAGAGAAGACATACATAAAACTAAACTTAAAGCGATAGTAAGAGATTTTGTCAATTCATTTCCTCTACTTCCTCAGAGTCAGATGACTTCATCGATACCATTTTATAATAATAATAATAATAATAATAATAATAATAATAATATGCCATTTAGCAGACGCTTTTATCCAAAGCGACTTACAGTCATGTGTGCATACAGTTTTACGTATGGGTGGTCCCGGGAATCGAACCCACCACCCTGGCGTTGCAAGCGCCGCGCTCTACCAGCTGAGCTACAGAGGACCAGGTTCATGTCTCTGCGTTCAGTATGAAGGAAGTTAAAAGGTTGTTC